GGTGTGGAATGGAGCTGGCCTGGGTCTGCAAGATGAGCTGTGTGTGCTGTGCACAGCAGAGTCAGAGAAGTAGAGCTGTCAGAACCCTTTGGAGCCCAGAAGATTGTGAGTGAATCCCAGATGTCCAGCTTTGAGCTACTTTGCTGGACTTTGGTTTTGCTTAGGTGTGCCTGATTCTTCCCTTTGAAATAAGACAGTACTTGTTTTGGATTTTGTAGAAGCCCACCCACAGGTAAGAGACTTTTAAAAGAGACTATGGATGTGTTTGGATGTTTTAAATGTTTGGATGTTTTAAGGACTGTGAGGTTTTTAAGGTTGTACTGTCTTATGTTGTGATATTAATGTTAATATTGTGTCTTGGGGACAAGAATTGGAAAGGTTATGGTTTAGTAGTGATGTGTTTGTGTGTCAAGTTGATAAGGGGTCAGTTGTGCTGGATAGCTTTAGTGTCAACTTGACACAGCTGGGTTGATGGAGCCTCAATTCAGGAATTTCCTTCATTGGACCGACCTGTGGCCATGTCCACAGGGCACCTTCTTGATTGTTGAGTGATGTGGGAGGACCCAGCCCACTGTGGGTGGTGCCACCCCTGGGCCGGTGGACCTGTGTTGCATAAGAAAGCAGGCTGGGGGCTGGAGAGATGGCTCAGTGGTTAAGGGTACTGATTGTTCTTGCAGAAGACCCAGGTTTGAATCCCAGCACCCATATGGCAGCTAACAACTGTCCATAATTCTAGTTCCAGGGGATCTGACAGCCTCTTCTGTTCTCCACAGGCATTTCACCACATGGGTGCACTTACCTGCATGCAGGCAATACACTCATACACATAAAATAAAAAAAGAAAGCAGGCTGAGCAGGGGCCAGGGGAGCAAGCCAGTAAGCAGTATTCCTCCATGGACCGTGCTCCAGCTCCTGTCTCCAGGTTCCTGCCCTGAGTTCCTACCTTGGGCTCACTGATGAACTGTGACCCAGGAGATGTAAGATAAATAAACCCTTTCCTCCCCAAGTTGGTAGTGGTCAGAGTGTTTTGTCACAGCAACGAAGAACAAACTAGGACACCATGATGGGCTCAGGCTGCTTGGGGTTCACACATAGACTCACAGTCAGTCTCCTGTCTTCCCTAGTGCTACACAGTGATTAGGGGAAGGTGGTTCACAACCTTTACACCTGTTCTGGTACTCCCCCGGTAAACTTCACCCCTTATCCCCCATGTATGGATCCAATGGAGAATTAGTTCCAGGTATCAGAAAAGGATCGGTATTGGTGTAATGACCAAGACAGACGTGCTGGGCTGGTAGAAAAGTCAGTGAGGAATTTACCCAGTAATTCCCCCCATTAATGAAAATGATGTTCACACCTTGGTTCACACCTTAGGCAAGTAGTTCTGCCTAAGCAAGTTTACCTAACACATAGGAGCAGGGATCAGAACACTCACCCTCGTGATCTAAATGAAGACAGACCACAGAATAATAATGCTATTTCCCCTCAGCTCCAATAGGATTCACACCTCCCAGTCAGGTAAACAGTTCCTCCTCCTCAGCAGAAGAGTGGAGGTTATAGTCTTGCCATACAAGGGGAATTCTTTTCCCAGTATCCCAGATGATTGGCATTTTACATCTTATTTTATAAAATAGTAAGGACATTGGAAATGGTTCTGACTACCTTTTCTTTTGTCTCAAGTGAGGTCAAACACTTAAGATCACAAGAATAAGAGACATTAATTCTACCCTTAAAGAGCTTTTGCTGAGCCTGGAAAGCCAGACCAAGCCATATGAAAGTAAAGCAAAGACCAAGCCAAGATGGGTGGGCTCCACTTGGGAGGGCCTTGGGCTGGCTGCCAGGGGCTTCGTGCTTCTCCTGAGAGCTTCCCTCTTCTCTCTTCCGGCAGTGGAAGGAAACAGTGATGAACTTGATGAACCCATCAAGGCTGTATTTGCTGACGTGGCTTTCGTCCAGAAGCACAACCTGATGAGTCTGAACTCCATCAACTGGTCTCGGGTCCTGGTGCAGATGGCCCATCACTTCTTTGCTTACTTCCAGTGTGCACCATCCTTGGACACACACCCCCTGCCTCCTGTGGAAATAGTTGTGCCAACAGGGGCTGGTGGTAACGTTGCAGGTAAGGTATAAATGGGCTTTCTGGAATAACACCCATTCTTTCCAGCTGTCCTCTGCTAATGTGAAGAGAAAGAAAGTTGTGTTTAATTCCAGGTTCCTGCCATAAGAGGAAAATGATGTCTCAACCCTCGGGTGCTTCGGTAGCCTAACCTGTGCTTGCTTACTTGCAGCAGGTAGAGAAACAAAAATTGAGGTTTAGCCACCCTACATAGCCATAATACCTTCTCCCAGATAAGTGGACTTTACTCCCAGCTCAGCCAGCTGCCTGCTGAGGGGGCAACTCCCCATGCCACAGTGTGCTTTTACTACCCAGGGCCATGAGAGGCAGAAAGGGCTCTGGAGTTAAGATCCCAGCCTCCACTCTGCCATTTATTAACTGAATAGCTGTCAGGCAGTACCTCAGACTCAATTCTTCAGCTGTACAAAGGAGACTTGGGGCTGGAGAAGTGGCTCAGTGGTTAAGAGCACATGCTGCTCTTCAAAGAACCTGAGTTCAGTTCCCAGCACCCATACGCAGCTCACAGCAGTCTGTAACTCCAGTTCTATGAGATCCAGCACCCTCTTCTTGTGCATATGCATACATGTAGGCAGAACACTCATACAATACACATGAAATAAAAATAAATTTAAAACCATTATGTTTCTCCAGACTATTATGAGGAACAAGTTTGATTCTTGAGTGCATATAAATTTCATAATGCTAGTGTTTGTTGTACAGCTGTGCAGCACTGAAACCATCTTTTCAAATAGTAATGAACATTGTCAAGCACTTACTATACACAAACACCTGCATACTTTGAATCATCTCTAGATTTTTTATAATTACTAATACAATATATAAATAAGATCTAAGTGATCATTATGATTTAGGGAGTAATGGCAACAGAAAGTAATGTACATATTTAATACAGATGCAGCTTTTTTTCAAAACTGTTTTCTTGACGGCTTGGCATGATGGCGCATGTGTTTAATCCCAGCCTCAGGAGGCAGAGGCAGGTGGATCTCTGTGAGTTCAAGGTCAGCCAGACTACATAGTGAGACCTTGTTTCACAAAACAAAACAAAACAGATTCTTTGTCTTGAGATAAGGTCTCACTGTGTGACTGAGGCTGGCTTTATACTCAGTATAGGCCAAACTGGCCTTGAAGCCTCTATCCGTCCCGAATGCTGAGATTAAAGGGTATATCACCACACCCTCCTGCCCTGTTTCCTATAGCTTTGACTCATGGTCATTTCAATCTGTAGATGTAGAACCAATGGATACAGAGGTCCAGCTATACTGTTATTTCCTTTTTAGAATGAGGAACTGGAGACAGGGAGAAGCTAGCTTGCCCCTGGTCACACGGCAGTTGGTAGCAGGATCAAGACGACAGCCCAGGCAGGCTGGAGCCTGCATCCTTGCCAGCCTCTAGGCAGTGGTGGTAGTGCTTCCAATAGCTCTGTCTCTGGCACTGCTGCTTACGGCCACCAGGGGTAGCTGCGGTGAGACAACAAAGGCATTTTAGTGGTTAGGAAACTCCACATCTACTAGTAGGAAAATAAAGAGAACTGTGGGCCGTCTGGTTTCTTTACTACCCACAGAGGGAAGCTCAGTGCCCTTTCCTTTCATGTCTCCTTCCAGCTGTGATGCCACCCACAGCTGTGCCCTCCAGAGTACCTGGTACAAAATAAACACATGGGCAGTATTTGTAGAGGGCCTTCCCATCTGGCTTTTCTCCATGCAAAACTGTTTTAAATCCCTGGGCCCTCCAGAGCTCCCATTTCTCCTTATCACTTAAGGATATTATAATGTTTTCATCAAGATCAAGTGAAATAAGAGTGTGAACGTGTTGGGGCTGGAGACATGGCTCAGAAGTTAAAAGCAATGGCTGCTCTTGCAGAGGACCCAAGTTTGGTTCCCAGCACCCACATGACGGCTAACAGCTGTCTGTATCTCTGATTCTAGAGGATCCAATGCCCTCTTCTGACCTCTGTGGATGTTTCATTACATGGGTGCACTTACATACATGCAGGCAGTGCACTCTTAAGCATAAAATAAAAATAATAAAATATTCTTTAAAAAGAATGGAAATGTTTTACAAAATTGAGTGTTGTTGGTAAGACCACTCTCAAAAAGAAGTAGGGGCTGGGGAGATGGCTCAGTGTGTAAATTACTTGCTGTACAAGCTTGGTGACCTGAGTTTGTGTCTCTTGAGCCCATGTAAAGCTGGATGCAGTAGCACACATCTATAATCCCTGCACTCCTACAGTGAGATAGTAGATGGAGACAGAAGAATCCAAGAAGGGAGCCTGGCATACATAGTGGCAAACAACACTGTGTTCAGATAAGGTAGAAGCTGGAAACCAGCTCCCAAGGTTGTCCTCTGACTTCCATACATGTGCCATGATACACATGTTCCCACATTCACACAAGCACGCACATACTTTTTTAAGGAAAATGAAAAAAAAAAGGGGGGGCTGGGGATGTAGCTCAGCTAATAGAGTGCTTACCTAGCATGTATGAAGCCCTGGGTTCAATCCCAAGCACCACAGAATTTGTGTTTGGATGAATGGTGCATGCCTAGAATCCCAGAACTTAAGAGAGAGAAGCAAGGGGATCAGAAGTTCAAGATTATACATGCTAGACTAGGATACACAAGACACTATCTTAAAAGGGGGGGTGGCTAGCGCTCTCTCTCTCTCTCTCTCTCTCTCTCTCTCTCTCTCTCTCTCTCTGACCACTCACTAGAGGACTACCCATGAAAGTCTGTAAAACCTTCCTAAACTACATCCTATGTCAGGGTTCCATCTCCCAGGGTGAAGGACTCCTTATTTGTTTCATGCAAGCAAAAGCTGCTACTAGAAGGGACTGAGGGAGCCACTCTTCTCTGCCTTGGAGTGTCTCCAGGATGCACCATCTGGAGGTGCTGGTTCTGGGCAGCTGAGTGGGAGAAAGAGTGTGGCTCTGGACTGAGATGGATACACTTTGACTCTAGATTTCTTAGGACAAAACATTTCAACCTCTTAGTACCTTCGTTTCTTCCACAAATGGGTTGTATCACAATACTGGGCATGTGTGTTGGTACACAGCAGGTGGCTGAAACATAGAACAGTGATCCTCCTCTTCCTCCCCTTCCTTCTCTTCCTCCGCACCTCCTCCCCCTCTCCTTCTCCTCCTTCTCCTCCTCTTCCTCCTCCTCCTCTCCTCTCCCTTCCCATCCCCTCTCTGTTTCTTATCTTCAAAAAGCACAGAAGTTTCTCTATTTTTATGAAGCTCAACTTTTTTAAAAAATTTACTTTTGTCTCCAAACCCATTGCTCTCTTTCTGTCTTGTCTCAAGCTGGGTGCATTGCTCAGAAGATGGGACTGCCCATCCTCCTGACTGTGGCAGTGAATCACAATGACATCATCCATAGGACTGTCCAGTGGGGAGACTTCTCTGTGTCTGAGACTGTCAAGCCAACCTTGGCATCTGCTATGGACATTCAGGTGAGCCTATGGGAGGACAGCAGGTCTAACTAGTTGGTGGAGTAGTCTGGATGGCTACTACATTAAGGTGGCCTGGGATTCTACTTTTCCCATTAAGGTACCCTACAACATGGAGAGAATCTTCTGGCTGGTCTCTGGTTTCAACAATCAAGTGACAAGGGCCCTCATGGAGCAGTTTGAAAGAAACCAAAGTCTGCATCTACCCAAGGAGCTACACAACAAGGTTGGTCAATGACCCCTCCCCAGAGGATGGAAGGATGCAGCTGTGCAACAGATTTGGGGTTTGGAGACCTGGGTGAGGGAAGGGGACACCTGTTCTTTGACATCTGTTGTGAGCCAAGCACTTTCATAGTTACCCTGACTGGAGGAGAGGCAGAGGAGAACATGGTACAGTCAGGCAGGCTCAGTTAAATCAGCTGTGAGATGCTGAGCCAGTTTCCTGAACTTGGTGTCTCGATTTCCTCATCTGTAACATGAGGATAATAAGAGTGACTACCTCATAGGGTTGATGTGAGATTTAAACAAAAACTACATGTGAGGCAATTTACATACTGCCTGGTAATATACAGCTTGATACAGTAACTGTTAACTGTTGCTACTTATTATGGCTTTTAATCTCCAATAATAACAGCAATTGGAAAATGAGGACAACGCAATTCTGCTCTCTCACTATGAGCAGAGACTTCTATTTACACTTCTTTTGCTCTCTCCCCCTTCCTCTCTCCCTCCCTCTTTTTCTTAGGAGAGAAACAATTTTGTTAATAGATTAAATTTAGTTATTTTAGCAAACTAGTTAGATTGACTTTATTATAACCCAAACTGGTGATAAGTACTTACTTTACAGGATATCTTAATTTTCTGGACCACATTCCCACTAAGTGGTCATGTGGGCTGTGCATTCCTCCAGTGAGTGGCCAGGACCTCACCAAGGCTCTAATTATCACAAAGTTCTAGAATGTGTTCCTTCTGGCTTGTGCAATATGATTTTATCTCAGCATTTCCCCTATAAGTGAAGAGAATCCTCACTCACTGGCTTGGTCTTCCCAATCCCTGTAACTTAGTCCCTATGCAGCATAATTCTTCATGCTTAGTATGCCTCTTGAGGGGGGTCTTCTCAAAATTGGACAGAGTTCTCTGGGCTGAGCCTGCAGACCAGAGTGGAAGTTCCCTCCTTTGGAATCTGTGCTGCGTGCGTTTGTTTGTTTGTTTGTTTGTTTGTTTGTTTGTTTGAGACAAGGTCTTCCTGTAGCCTCAGCTGGCCTGGAACTCTCTATGTAGACCAGGCTGGTTTTGATCTCACAGCGACCTGCCTGCCTCTGGCTCCCGAGTGCTGAGATTAAAGGCCCGCACCACCACACTAGTCTGTGCTGCTTTTGGTATAATCAAACATCTGTTTGTTTGGTCCAAGGTTTGTGTAGATGCCAGTATTCCTTTTCCTTATGCAAATGAGGTGCTGCATGAAAACTAGACATCTATCCCCTGTTTTTCCAGTTTCTCTTTGGCTGTACACATAGGAGACACTCCATCTGCTATACAGGCATCCATCCATCCATCCATTAATTCATATTATCTATCTACTATGATTGAAGAGCTTTGGAAATACAAAGTCAAATACATCTGTCATATTGAGTGATACAGCTCAGTGGTAGAGCACATGCTTAACATATGTTAGGCCTTAAGTTCAGTCCTCAGGACTGGGAAAAGGAACAGGGGGAGGAGGAAGAGAGTAATAGTGAAAAAAAAATACATTGGTTACCTTCTCTAACCCTAACCAGGATGTAGCTATATAAACAATTTAAGCATCACGTGGTCTCAGTTGCCCTTGAGTACATACATGGTGTTTGCTATTTTGTAAGCAATGCAGTACATTTTCAGTGAATGATCATATTTACCAAGCACACTGAGAGAGCACCAAACAGGGAGCCTTCCTCTGCCTGTGAGTACCAGGAGGCTTCCTAGAGGAGGTGCTCCTGAGTAGGATGGGACCAGATAGGACAGCGTTTCATACCAGGAAGAGGGTGTGCCAACAGTAAAGAATCCAGAAATGTTTGAATGCCCTTGACCTGTGCTGTGTCAGGCTATGGGACAAGGCTGTGTGCTAACTTGATTCAGGAACCAAATGTATTTAGATGTACCTAAAACTCTTATGTATCCTTCCTCTAAGTTGAATGAATAAGCTCAGAAATGGAAAACTGATTTACTGTTCAGCATTCAGTCTGGGCCATTCGTTTGAGTTCCTGGTGGTCTGTTATGCACATACAGCAGGATTTTTGTCCTCGTTCCCTGCCTCCCCACTCCTGACACCTACCCTCTATCTCCTTGCCCCTTCAGCTTGTGGAGGCAGTGACCTCTCAGTCAGTGTCAGATGAAGCCATCACCCAGACCATGGGCCGCTGCTGGGAGGAAAACCAGTACCTGCTGTGCCCTCACTCAGCCACAGCCGTGAGCTGCCATTATCAACAGACTGACAGCGGGCAGTCCAGGTACCGCAGTGGGATCTGGGGCACTGGGGACCCTTTGACCTTCAGGGACCCTCCTCTTCTCTAAGAAGGGCATGCAGGAAACAGGAGAGTAGTGTTAAAGGGCGTAGTGGGTCCTGTGTTGAACTGTCCCCAAGAACTGTGAGCCTAGAAGAGGAAATGTAAACTATATCCATAGGAGAAGAGATGGTTGAACTGGGTCTTTATCAGGAGTGCTTTGCTGGGCAGTGTTATTGTATATGTAAGTTCAAGGTACTAATTGTATTTCTGTTTCTCTCTCCTCTGTGCCCTATCCTACCCCAACTCTTCTGCTGGTCCTTCTCCTTTCTCCTCTATCTTCTTTCCCATTCTACCTTTTCTCCCACCTGTCCTGCCCCATCCTCAATAGTGTCCCCCGGTGCTGCCTGGCCCCTGCCTCAGCAGCCAAGTTCCCAGAAGCAATCCTGGCTGCAGGGTTGACTCCCCAGACTCCCACAGAGATCCTAGCCCTGGAACACAAGGAGACACGCTGCACCCCAATGCAGAGAGGAGAAGACTGGATTCAGATGCTTCGAGACACAATTGAGGGCCTAAGCCAGAGGCGGAAGGGTCATGCTGTAAACCCTTCTGAATAGCCAGGCTGGAACTGGCTTTGTTTAAATTTCCCTTCCCAGGGAGCTGCACCCTTAAGCCCCCTCAAGCTCTGGGGTGCTTCTGGGGAGAGCTAGCGTAGAAGTTGCCTGTTCACTTAACTTTATTCCATGGGAGATAGGATGAGGGGGACTTGAGGAATGGGTGGCTGATGTTGAAAGGCTCCCCACCACTGAATGGTTCAGGAATAACATTACTCAACATACAAGTTTCAGGGTCTGCAAATGATGAGCCTTGGGTACAGGGTCAGACCTCAACTCCAGAGTGTTAGGACTCCAGACCTGTGACAAAGGGTTACTCACTACTTTAGCACAGAACTAGGGCTTATGAACTCTGAATCTCTGTTTTTCCATTCCTGAAACCAAATCCAAAGCTTTGGCCCTCCTTGCCAAATGCTTCCAACCTGTTGAAATGTTGGGAATCCCTGTAATAAAAGTACTGTTAGTTAAATGGGGACTCTAGATGGACATTGGGTAGATCAGAGCTGCAGGAATGAAAGCAGTCCTGCTGGCAGCTGAGTGGTGATGTTGAGGTCTGTGCTGCATGCACCTGCTGCTCCAGGTTGGCCCAACAGAGCAGGCAGGGTGCATGGAAACCTGCACTGGTGGTGTGGTTAGGGGTTGATGTGGGGCTCACTAGCATGAAGACTGGAGTTGGGGATTTAACTTAGTGGTAAGGAGCTTGCCTGGTAAGTCCAAGGCCCTGGGTTTGGTCCTCTACTCTGGAAAAAAAAAAATTACAAAAACGACCAAAGGAAAACCAAGGCAATCGACTAGAGTGAAGGTCATGTGGGGCAGAAAGCCATGGAGGCATCAGTGTACCAACATTGATGTCTTGCTTTTCATAAATCGAGTGTACTAGCAGCAATTATTTATATCGCTGGGTTCAGATCCTATGGGCAGCAGGGGGCATTTCAAACAAACTCAAGTTCATGTCTTGGATGGTGGGGCTCCTTCTAGAAAGAGGATGGGGTAGAGAGTGAGTCAATGAACTTTTTTCTTGCCAGTAGAAGATGCTATGGCTCCATCCCTGGGGCTACTATACCCTTAGCCAATTCCTCAGGAATCCTTCCTTGCTCTGGGATCTGAGGGTACTGGTCACCCAGGACCAGTTGGACTGGCATGTCCTATCAGAACATGCTAGTGCCATATCTCTGTAGTGCCTGGGGACAGAAAGAGGCTAGGGGATCCCACTGTTCAAAAGGTGGACATTGAAGCCTGGCATTCAGTACCAAGAGGGAAGGATAGGGACACTGGATCTCTGGGGGGGGAGGTGGGGAGTATTCCAAGGGAATGACAGTGACCCTTACAGGCTATGTCCTTTCACAATTTCTGAGACATTTTACCAACCACAGTATTAGACACCAGTGGAGGCTCTGGTGCCACTTAGCCATTGGGTACAATGGGCTCAGTGCTCAGGGGTCATACTACTTGAGGCCCTTGAATATGTTTAATTTTTTGCATGTATGTGTACGTGTGTGTATGCATGTGCACATGTAGGCACACAGCCTGCATGTGGAGATCAGAGGATAGCCTCAGGTGTTGGTCCTCTCGTTCCCCCCTTGGTTGAGACAGGGTCTCTTATTCCCTGAAGCATATGCCAGGCTAGCTGACCCACTCACTCCCCAGGATTCTGTCTCTACCTCTTGTAGAAGTGCTGGGATTATATACTGCTTCGTCCAAATTTATATGGACTTCTGGAAATCCAGACTCAGGCCCTCACGCGTGTGTGGCAAGCTCTTTATCCACTGAGCCATCTCCCTAGACCTTTACTTTTCTTTAAAACTTAAAAGAAAACAATGAAATCAAGCATGGATTATTGTATAGTCATACAGTACATTTCAAATAGTTTTTAATAGAAGAGCCTCTTAAAATTCATGATATGGGGCCAGAGCCTACAAGATGGCTTCGCAGGCAAAGCACTTGCTACACAAGCCTGATGATTTGAGTTTGATCCCTGCAAGCCATGTAAAGCTGGAAGGAAAGAAGCGGACCCCACAAAATTGTCCTCCGACTGCCACATGCACACTATGGCACACACATACACCGTACACCCATCCACCCCCATAATAGTAAATTTAAAAACTGGGCGGAGGGGGGTGCATAATGTGTTCCTAATGGCACCTACAATATTTATTTATCTACAATACTTTGCAAAAATTAGCTCATGGAATCCTGATAACAGCCTGGGAAGCGGTGCTGCAGTCTTCCCCATTTCACAGAGGAGTGGGGGACACTATGGGAGGTGAGATAGCCTAGGTGGCAGCACAGTTGGGAGCAGAGGTTGAGGGTCTGGCTTCAGTAAGGCTTTGGGTTCTGTGTGAAGTTTTCGTTGCAGCTCCTTTATACAGCCAGTTGCATTCCTGTGCTGCCTCCTCTACCCCCTCTGCCTTCAGGTCCTCCCACCCCTGGTGTCTGGTCCTTCCTTGGATGATGAGGTATCCTGGCTGTGCTTCTCCAGGAGGCCACCAGGGGCTGCTGCTGCCCTGTGAATGAGCCCAGTCTACCATCCTTTGCTGCCTGTTTCAAAGGGCTTCAGGGCAAGGAAGGTACAAGGGAACTCCCTGGCTTCTGGTGGCTTGGAGACCTATCCAGCTATGAGAAGCTACCATCCCTGTGAAGGAACCCAGAATAAAGCCACTGGACACAGCAGAAACAGACCAGGGACAACTGCAAGGTACAGTGGCTACAAGGGATCTTGGGGAACAGAAGACAGACAAGATGCACTGGCCTTTGTAGTCCTACACCATTCTGGGCTGAACTGTATCTCCTTCAGATTAGCCTGTTGATATTGTGACCCACAAAACCTTCAAGACAAGATCTTAAATGGTATTCAGTTAAAATGAAGTCTTTTGGGTGGGTTCTAATCCAGAATGACTGCTGACCTTGATAGAAGAGGAAGGAAGGACCCAGACATGTGCACACACAGGGAAGGTGGTGACATCTGAGGGAAAGACACCATCTTTGCCAGAGAGGAGGCCTTAGCCTGAAGCCACGCCCACTGGTGCCTTGATTTTGGACTCCATCCTCTAGAACTGGGAGAAATCTTTAAACCACGTGGTCTGTGGCATGCCACTATACCAGACAGCTGACTGACACATATACACATGCATGTACATGGATGCATGCACCTGCACACATACATTACACAAAGCAGCTACTTCCTCTATGTGAGCCTCAGTTTCCTTGTCTGCTAATCAGAATACTTACCTTGCAGGTTTGCTTTGAGGGTTCCATGAGGTAAAGGATTTCTTTCTAAGTGCCAGGTAAACTCTCAAATGGCTCTTCCTATTAACACAATTATAGCTTGCGTGGAACAATTTAGTACTTTTAAGCTATCTTGTGTTTTTTACTAATTGTTTTGTGAATTAGTCTAATCTTGCCTGGGAGATTGTTTGTTCCTTGTGGATAAAGCTCTCCTGTGGGCCCTCACCATACCCAGTGCTGCTGTAGCTCTGGACACAGGATTAGAAAGTGATCAGGCTCAGCAGTTATGCCCAGTCAGAGGATCTGCCTGGCTTGTTTGGGGCTGAATGGTACAGACTAGCAGTAGTGGTGCTGCTAGCCCCTAAACCCTGCTAGTTTTCAATGACATGCAGAACCCTTTGCAAAGGGCTTTCCAGACATGATTCCTCTAGTCCTCATGGGGAGTATGTGAGTAGGTGCTCTTGGAAACCTCATTTTAGTCATTTGTTTCTTTATTATGGGTGTATGTGTATATGTGTGGGCATGTACATGCCATAGACCACATATGGAGGTCAGAAGACAACTTTCCAAAGTCAGTTCTGTTCTTTCATTATGTGGATCCTGGGGATCAAATTCAGGTTGTTAGGCAGCAAGTTCCTTGACCCACTGAACCATCTTGCCAGCCCAGGAACCTCATTTTAGAGATGAGCAAATGAGGTGCAGAGAGGTGGGGGAGCTTGACTAAGGTCAGGGTTATGAGGAGGGCCTGTGTACCTAACCACCAGGAGAGGTGTTTGGGTGTTGACCTCCCATCCCCATCAAGTCAGAGTGTGTAATGGTCTGAGAGTCAGATGGGAGAGGGTGGGGTCTGAGGATGGGAGAGAGGGCTCATCATTAGGGATGAGTAGCTGCTCTCAGAAGGGGCCATGGAACCAGAGGTCCTTCCCTGTGGCTCAGACTCCATATGGAACTGAGCTCCTCATGGTAGGGATGGCTGGGAGCAGGTGTCTGCTCAGTGAGGCAGCTGTTGCTATGGGAAGGGGGTGACAGTGGTTCTGTGAGATTTTTCAGCTGCTGGCAGAGAGGCCCAGCCTGGTGAGCCCCTCAGAAAGTCTATGGGTTTGAGGGGGGAAGAGTGAGGCCTTGGGAACCTTTGTTGAGTTTTCCCAGCCAAATAAACACAGGGTGAGCAATACAGTGAGGAAAGGGCCACTTGTTTCCTGGAAAAAGGGCAAAGCCAACTCTCCCTTGCCTAGAGCTTGCTGCTTCTGCCCAAGACACATCTTTCTTCCCAGACCTACCCTCTTGGGCCCCACCCATCAGTCCTCCACTCTATGATCGAAGTTCTCTCAGGCACCAAGGTCTGAACAAATGCTTAGGGCCAGAGTGATGACATCTTATTATGTATTGAGTCTGTGTGTGTGTGTGTGTGTGTGTGTGTGTGTGTGTTGAGACAGGGTCTCATGTAGCCTAGGCTGACTTTGAACCTGATATACAGCCAAAGATCGTCTTGAACTCCTGATTCTCCTGCCACCATCTCCTGAGTTTTGGGATTATAGCTTAACTTTTAGAGTTCTGAGGGTTGAACTCAGGACTTTGTTCATGCTAAGCAAGCACTCTACCAACTGAGTTACATCCCAGCTCCAACTTATGTAGAGGTATAGAAAATGTTGCAGTCAATGTCCAGGGTCTTCCAAGGTTGTCAGTGATGGTTCTTCAATGCAGATGCCCAGGCAGCCCTCCTGATCCCATTGGCACTCCCCACTCCACCACTGCCAGGTGCTCCCATGACTGGTGCAGGGGCCTGCTCTCTACTCCCTAAGCATTCTTCAAAGGCCACTCTTGACTATACCATAAGTCCAGGCTCCAGCAGCAAATGCAGCACTCCCTCAAGAACAGCAGCCAAACTGGTATGAGGACCTACAGGTTCCAGAAAGGTGGCTATGCAGGAGGCTAAGTGGGTGAGAAGGCTGAGCAGGGTCTAACCTGCTGAGCAGGGCCTACCTGCGTCCGCTGGTAGGAAGTGGATCCTCCTGGGTTCGAGTCTGTTCTCTTCTCCTTCTCAGTGGTTTGATCATTGCAGTGGTCTGTTCTAAGCCAAAATCCTTGATTAGGCACCAGTCAGGGTCTCCTGTTGCAGGTAGAGTGTTTGCAGTTGAAGAGTGTGTCTCCTGCCATCTGGATAGATGCTTAGGAACTAAGTAAGCAAGGCCAAAGCTAGGAACTAAGGTACAGTCTGGGCCTTCAGGTCATGTTAAAACCTTG